GATGCCGGGGCCAGGCCCAGGGAAGCCTGTGGCCTGTCTTCCAGGGGTGGCCCGCGGGCTGGGGTTCCAGGTAGCAGACCTTGGGGCTGGTGGTAGTGAGTCCGAGGTCTGAGACCAGGCCTGGTGCCAGGCCGCTCCAGAGCTGGCGCAGCCACCAGGCCTCACTCGTGCTGAGACCCAGGTCTCCAGCTCCCACCAGGCCTGCGGGAGGCCCTCCGTGCTGAGGGCAGGTGCAGGCGGTGGCCCACGCCCTGCAGCACTAGGGAGCCCCACAAAGCCAGCGGGGTTGGGGTGGGGGGGTGGCGCCCCACACTCCAGGAAGCTGGCAGCCTGAGGAATTCCCTCGATAATACCACCATCTCTCCGGTGACCTCTTCCCCCCAGCGCCCCCCGCCTCTCCCTTTTTAGGAGGCTCCCCTCAGCACTGATTATGAAAAGGAGCCTCTGAGAGGGTCTGTTCTGAGGCCCAGAGAGGAGCAGGGCCTTGCCCCAGGTCACCCAGCAGGTTGGCTTCCCACAGTGTGTGCCCACAACCCCCAGCTCGACCCCTGATGGCGTGGGCCTGGGCTGCGCCCCTCCCCTGGGCTTCTGCATGAGGAGGGGTGAGGAGATGAGCTCCCCAGTCCTGTGGGTTCAGACCACCAGGCTTCTGAGAGCGCAGACACCCTGGGGCCGCCTATACACTGTCAGGTTGCAGCTACAAAACGCCCCCGGTAGCTGCAGGCCCGGCTGTGTGCACAGGGAGTAGGAGAGGCAGTGTGTGTGCCCAGGGGTTCATTGCTGCTGGTGTGTATGTGGGTGTGCAGATTATGTGCAAATGTGTGAGGGTGAGTGGAGTGTGCAGGTGACATGTGTTCAGCTGTGTGTGTGCAGATGTGTGAATGCATCTTTGTGTATGTGCACACCCGACTGTGCACCAGGTACATGAAGGGTGCGTGTGTGTGACCCAGGTGTGTCTGCGTCAGGGAGTGTGTGTTTGTGAGCTCAGGTGTGTGTGAATGCAGAGATGCAGGAGTGCACAGGTGTGTGTGTTTGTGGGCATGCAGGTGTGCAAACCAATTTGCAGGTGCTCTGCTGCGCCTGCTCGCCCAGGGTGCGGGTGCGGCTGTGGGTGCTGGTGGCATGGAGCCTCGCTGTGCCGCTCTGGTGAGCCGGGGGCTGGATTTCCCAGCATTAGCCCGGATTTCCAGGGCTTACCACGCAGCCGGCCGCATTACCCGCTTCCAGGGGTGGCCCGCGGGCTGGGGTTCCAGGTAGCAGACCTTGGGGCTGGTAGTGAGTGCCCTGAGGTCTGAGACCAGACCTGGCGCCAGGTGCTCCAGAGCCGGCGCAGCCACCAGGCCTCACTCGTGCTGAGAGCCAGGTCTCCAGCTCCCACCAGGCCTGCGGGAGGCCCTGCCGCATTACCCGAGCCGACCAGAGCTTCTGTGCCGTGCGGGGTTACTGCTCAGCCAGGCTTGGCCAGGACGCGGCCGCGGAGGCGGCCAGGATGTGGAGAAGTTCGTCTGGTGAACAGGTGCTGAGGGTCCCAGTGGCCACAGGGTCAGTCTGGAAGAAGCGCAGAGCGGGCAGAACTCCTCGGTGCCCCCCACCAGGCCCCTCCCATTCTGTACCCACCAGGCCTCATACAAAACAGGAAATCCACCGCCCACAGCCAAGTAGCTCCTCTCTGTGCCCTTTGCCCACCCCAAGGTGACTCCGCCCTCCCCCACCAGCCCCAGGCCTGACAGCCTCCTTCCCGCTGGAGGGCACTGACTTGGGAGGCTTCGTGCGGGATTCCTGCTTCCTTAGAGGACGAGCGAGCGGAGCGAGGGCCTGGCCAAGGGGGAGCGGGAATGGGCCGCTCAGACCCTCTGGGCTGGGACACGTGTGGAAGGGAGAGACGGGCCTCTCACGCTGCCTGGCTTTAAGACCTGCCTCTGTGCCAGGGCCCGTCTCTGTGGGAGTGCCCGCTGGTTCTAGAGGTTGTAGAGACCACTGCTTCTCTGCTGGGGTCAACGTGCGACTGCCTCCAGGTGACAGCGTGCGCCCTCACACGGGGGCTCAGAGCAGTGTCCGAGCTGTGGGGGGTGGGAATCCCAGACCCTGGGGCAAGGAGGGGCCTGGGGTGGCCGGCCCCACTTGTGCTGTGCACACAGCAGCCATCCCAGCCTGGGATGGCGAGAGGAGCCCCCAGGGCCCAGGCTGGGAGGGCCGGGCCGGGCATCGCTTTCCTCTGCTTTCCTCGCTTCACACCCCTCCTTGTATTTTGTTTGCAGAAAGGCTCCGGGGCTGGAAAGCCCGCACTGAGCTCAGGGCTGGCTCCAGTTTCCAGGGCCCAGAGCAAAATGAGAACGAGGGGCCCTCCTTCAAAACTTATTAGGATTCAAGACAGGGCCGCAGGCATTAAGCCAAGCACCGGCGCCACCTGCCATGCTGCCGACTCCGTGTTAGGGGGCTCAGCAGCCACACTGGGGCAGGGCAGGGTGGGATCTGGGGCCTAGACCCCTGGCCCCACCACAAGTCTGTCCACTGCAGGGCTCACTCTGCCCAGAGAGGGGGCCTGTACCCTGGCCACCAACTCCATATGGGCCCACTGTACCCCCATAACAAGGTGGGGGCAAAGGGCCTAAGATGGGTGTCTGACCTAGAACCCATTCCTGTTCCCAAGAACCCCCAGTGTGAAAGGAGAGACAGCCCCTCCCTCAGGGAACCCCCATGTACTGAGAGAGACACGCCCCATCCCCAGGGCACCCCGTCCCCAGGGCACCCCCAGTCCAGTGGGGAAGACAGGCCTGTTCTTGATTCCCAGACCTCCACTGTTCCTCCAAGGAGCTCTTGTGAGTCTCTGGAGCCTGTCCCCCTTCCTCCCCGCGGCCACGAGTCCCCTCCCACTGGCCTGTCACCACCTCCCCGCCCCCACGCTGGAGACAGCTGCCTGCGTGGCTGAGAGTGTGGGTGCATGTGAGGACGGGAAGGGCGGGCTGTCTGCAGGGTGTGTGCTCCCGGGGATCAGTGGGCCATGGGGCAGCCTCCGTCCCACGTGCTGCAGGTTTCATGCGGCTTCACAGCTGCGCTTGGGGAGGAGCCTCGTGGTTCGGGTGAGGCAGGCGCTTCCCCCCCATTGCACTGATGAGAACACTGAGGGCCGGAGAGGGTGAGGCTCCCCAGGGTCACTCAGCTCTGTCCTCTCGGGGAAGGGCTGAAGGAAGGCCTTTAGATTCAGGCCACGAGGTGTTTATGGAGCCGGGCAGATGGTGAGGTCATGAGAACAGAAAGACGCGCCCCCCAGGGCTCCCAGATGAGGCCAGGGCTCTGGGGACCTCAGGAAGCAAACCCAGACCCGTGATGTCCACTGTTGGGTCGGGTACAAGGAATGAAGGGTGTCGGGGGATTGGGTAGAGCTGGGGCCAGGGAAAGGTTCCTAGAAGAGGTGGCATGTCAGCCAGGCCCCAGGGGAGGGGCCCAGGCCCAGAAACAGCAGATTTAGGGAGCAGGACTCCCATGGCCAGATCTGGGGGCCACAGCCGGGGCCTCCCCTGACCACGGGCGGCCAGAGGGGCAGCTGGGCCTGGGGGACCTGGAGGGAGCAGACGGGGAGCGGATCCCAGCTGGGGGCGGTGGGAGTCGTCAGGCCTGCCTGGAAGGCCCCACGAGTGAAGAATGGACTACCGGCACCCAAATTAATGGGCTTTCATTTCGCCAAACATCTGTCACTGTTAGTGCTGGCGAGCGAGCGTGAAATGAGCTTCAACTGTGCTGCCCTGCGCGTTGTGCTGGGTGCTGCGGCTCCCGTGCCAGTGGCTGCTCTGCACAGGGTACCCATGGGGGCAGCCGCTGAATGGGGGGCCTGGCTGAGGGGCTGGGACACCCTCCTGAGGAGGGTCAGCTGTGGTCCCGACGGCGGGCGGCCCCTCCAAACAGCGCATATCAGTGGGGACACTTCCACCAGCTCCCGGGCTGGGCACTGTCCTGCATGCTGTTACCATGGCCCCGTCTTTCCTCCTCACAGCCCTGCCAGGTAAGTGCAGGACTGTAATCATCACGCCTGCATTACACATGAGGACACAGAGGCAGGAGGACGGACTTGGTCAGGACTTGAATTTAGGGCTTCTGGTCTGAAGTCCGGCTCTCCTCCATGCTCCCTCCGATCCAGTCTGTTCCCGCTGCGTCTGCCTCTGGGGAGGGCGGAGGGTCAGGCCGCGAGGTCAGGGCAAGCCGCTCTGACGCCTCCCCGCCCGCCCCAGCTGTACATCCAGACGACCACGCTGACGGTGTCGGTGAGCCTGAGCGCCTCGGTGTCCCTGGGGATGCTCTACATGCCCAAGGTCTACATCATCCTCTTCCACCCGGAGCAGAACGTGCCCAAGCGCAAGCGCAGCCTCAAAGCCGTGGTCACCGCCGCCACCATGTCCAACAAGTTCACGCAGAAGGGCAGCTTCCGGCCCAACGGGGAGGCCAAGTCTGAACTCTGCGAGAACCTCGAGGCCCCCGGTGAGTGTCTGGCCCCGCCCTTCTCCCTCTGGACCTGCCCAGGCCCCGCCCCCTTCCTGGGGGCGGGCCAGCCCCCCTCCCCCCTCAGCCAGGTCATGTTGGGGCCCGGAGAACCCCAGGCTGCAGGTTAGTACCCTCCGCCCTGCCTGCCAGTCCTGGGAGCCGAGAGGACCCCCAGGCCCCAGCCCATGCCCACCCTGTCCTTGCCCTTCCAGGGATCTCTGCCCTCCCCTATCCGGAGGGAGGCCATGAGGGCCTGATTCACACACTGTGATGTGAGGACCCATTTCTCTGCCCTGTGACCTTTATCCCTCGGGGATCAGGTGGTGTAGATGGCCCCTGATCCCTGGCCCTTTGGGAACCGGGGGGCCGTGGCCCTGGCAACAGCCCCGCCACCTCCTAGCAGGGCCCTAGAGATGGGGGCTCGGGACACGGGCCCTGATGGGTAAGTGGGGTGTGGGGGGGGCAGGGGCCTCCAGAGGCCAACGTTCTCAGGGAGCAGGCGGCCCTGGGGGTTGTGCAGGCACCTCAGCTGCAGAGGGTCCTTTGAGGGCTCAGGGGAGGGAGGGAGGCAGAGAACGTAGCGTCTGGGAACAGGCCCAAGGGCTGGGCGGGTGGGACAGGCCCTTCAGGCTGGTAAGGCGTGTGCGTGGGAGGGAGCAGGGCACCCTCTTTGCCAGCTGCCCTGGTCCCTGCAGCCAGCCCTGTGTGAGGAGACGAGGTGGAGAGATGGCCAGAGGGCAGGGCCGCGGAGGGACAGGTTAGGCCCCGGGGGACCAGTAACAGCGGTGACCATCTCCGGAACCCTGTGTGCCACACCTGTCAGGTACCAGTGTTCATCCCCACAGCCATCTTGAAAGACAGATATTTTGTCATCTGTGTAATACAGAGGAGGAGAGAGGGACCACCCAGGTCACAAGCCAGCAGGTGGCGGCCGGCCCTGACCTCCCACTATCCCCGCTGCCCGCTGTCTCCTGGGACAGCCTCAACTTGTGGGGCGGGGCCTCCATGGGCCTTGCTTAGGGTAGGGGGGCTCAGGGTCACTGTGGTCACCCCGCCACCGCAGACCTTGGCGCCCTCCCTGGACGCCCTGTGAAGTGGCCGCTCCTCCTGCCTCCCACTCCCTTGAAGTCTTGGGGGACATCAGGTCCTGGTGGGACAGGGAGTGAGCACTCTGTTCCTCCTTCCACTCGGGGAGGCCGGAGGGGACAGCGTCGAGGGCAGCAGGAGGGACGCGGGCTAGCTCAGGGGAAACAGATTTCCCTCCCGTGTGTCTGGTCTGGGGCAGCGCTTCTTACAGGCCCTGCCTGGGGCTCCGGGTGGAGCGTCGTCCCTCCGTTCTCAGCACCGGCCCACATCCCTCCCCACATCCACGCAGGATTTTTCACTTGTGAACTTCACAGCAGTCCTGTGAGGCCTGGTTAGGGCTGGAGGTTTGATCCCAGCTGAGGCTCAGAGAGGGTGAGTAACTTTCCTGAAGTCACACAGCTAGGTGGTGGCTGGCTGGCCCCATGACCCTCACTTCATATGGCCTCCCTGTCTCTGGGTCCCCATTCTCTGCGGAGTAGTGTACCCCGCTCTGAAGCACCCCTGCTTGATCGCCACCCACCTCCACCAAATGACTGGTTCTTGCCAGTCCTGCTCCTCCCAGAGGCCAGCGTCCCTGCACCTGCAGCCTGGGAGGTGCTTTCATTGCGCCGGGGGCCCCCACGCGAAGAGGGGGAGGGCGGAGTGTCCTCAGAACTCCCCACCTCTGGCCTTCCGTGTCTACCCAATGCAGCCCCTCACCTGGCCCTTCTGTCCAAGCAGAGCCCCTCCCTGCTCCCCGCCCCTCCCTCCTGGGCCCCTCCCTCTGGGCCATGCCCTGCTCTGCTCCAGGGCTCCTGGGAGAGTGGGGCTCAGCCCTCCCGGAGGGTGGCACTCATGGTGTGTGACATCCTAGGGGCCACAGAGGGCAGGCAGGCTTCACGGAGAGCTCTGATCACACCTCTGCCTCTGCTCAGCTGGTCACCTGGGGGCAGGGACAGGCACCCCCCTCCCTCCCCCCAACAAGGAGGGTGGGCAAGGGAAGACCTTGCTTCCAGCTCCCTGCTCCCTGCAATGGAAGGATGAGAGCTGCCCACTCACCTCCACCCTGCAGTGAGGCCAGAGGCCCCACCCTTTGCCCCCTGTCTCTCAGCTCGGTGACAACAGGGGCCATGCGGGCCGGGCAGGAGCCGGGTGTTTAATTCCGGGGACAGCCCGACAGCGGCGTGTGAGTGAGCAGGAGGAGTGGGGAGGTGTCACTCCTGTGGAGCAGGGACATTTTTCACGCTGTCGCTGGCAGGCCATGTATCTTTAAACAAACAACAGAATAAATAATTCAGGGCTGATTGCAGGCAGATTGGGTGCGGAGACATGGGGGTGGCAATGGGGCTGTCAGCTCCGGCCGCCACTGCCCAGCTAACTGTTATCAGAGGCAGCGGAGCCTGTAGACCAGCAGCCACCAGCGGTCTGTCACCAGCAAGGGCTGGATGGGCTCGGGGCCTCTGCCCACACCCTCGTCCCCCACACCCTCGTCCCTTCCCCGACCCAGAGGATGGACTGGGGGTCCCTCTCCCCACCCCTCCCCCCTCATCGCTGTAGTGATTTCAGCCCTGCCCCTTTGCCCATCATATTGCAAGGTTTCAGAGTATTTCCATCCATCCTGCGGCCGAGAGCCACTAAGGGTATCATCCCATTTCACAGGCGAGGGAATCGAGGCTCCCAGAGGCTCGGTGTGTTGGAAGGGCCACACGGCAGGTGCTGAGGTCCCCGTACTGGTCAGGGCAGGATTGGCCCCCAAGTCTCCTGAGTCCTGTCCAGACTCTTCCTTTTGTTCCTCACAGTTAGCACCTGGGGGACCCTCCTGGGCAGATCATTGCTCCCATTTTCCTGATGATGAAACTGAGGCTCCGCCGAAGAACTTGGGTCCCTGGCTTGTAACTGAGGGCTGAATGCTCTTCCAGGTTCTGGAAGCCATGGCTGGCTTTTCTGCTGGGGACAGCTCTGGTCTTAGAGGGA